AGTGCAGCCGTGAGCCCCTCAACACCATCCTGCTAAACTGTGTCCCCAGGTGCCTCAGCTACCCGTTTCTTGAGCCCTCCAGGGATGGTGGTTCCACTGCTTCCCTGGGCAGCCTGTTCCTCGTACTGGGCAGTGCTCTTCCCTTTCAATAGAGAACATCAGGAAAGCAGCTTTATAACAAACCACGAAACTTGTTACTGGGTGATGCTTCTTAGAAGACAGGCTCCCGGGAGCCGGGCTGATCCGTGTGTTCCGTGTTCATAGCCAGGCATGTGTGGTCCTGGCCCCGCTCCAGAGGGCCACCTAGAGCCGCCTGCCCCAGACCGGGTCCTGCTGGGTTTGAGCTTCTCCAGCGGAGCAGAGCCGCCCTCCAGCCGCTCAGCACCGGCCTGTCCCGATTGCCGGGCATTTCTGAGCTCCATGAGGAGCTGCTCAGGCGGCAGCACGTCCCATGAGGGGCCACTCACCCTTCCCTGAATGCCCCTCCTGTGGGAGACGGGGTCACAGAGCAGAGCTCCTGTGCCCTGTGCAGGGAGAGAACCGGCCCCTCGAGCGCTCTGCTCAGGCCCAGGTGCTGCAGCCCACGGGCAGCCTGGGGGCTCCCGCGTCCCGGGACGCCGTGGGATTTATGGAACGGAGGCAGCCGAGCCAGCAGGCATGAGATGTGCCCAGCGGGCCCCGCCGGCAGCGGCAACATGAACAGCAACGGGCTCCGTTTCGGAGGGAGCAGCCGGGGCGCACGGTGACGGYGGCTGCTCTGATGCAGGAAGTTGTGAAGAATAAAGGAATGGGCAAGGCGCTTCGGACAGCGCTCTGAAGAGGCCGTAAGCACATGAGTGTTGCTTTCCCACCTCGCAATGCCACCTTCTGGGCACCATTTCATCCCACACAGATAAGTATTTTGCACCATGGGAAAAATACCCTCTTTTGCCTCTGTTTTGCAGAGTTTAGGGTCATTTGCAGACTCCTTGAGAGTACAAAACAGCAAAGAACAACAGAGAAAATAGAGCGCGGAGCCACTCAAAACGAAGAGSCGCTCTTGCGCGGCAGGTCTGCCCTGCCCTCGGCTCCACGGGCTTGGTGCAGCAGCGAGGGCAGCTCAGGGCCCTTCCCGTCTGCGCGGGGAGCTCGGACCAAACCCGGCGCCCCAGGAGCCGCCTGCTCCCACCGCTGCCCCCACTCGCAGYGCTGCAGGGTCAAAGCAGCCCGCGACGGAGCCCATGATGGAGCCCGCGGTGTCCCCTGTCGTCTCGGTGCCCCGGACACCCCCTCACTCCGCATTTCCTCAGCAGGGGCGGCCATCCCGCCGCTTGGCTGCGCGGAGCACAGCAGCAGCTGCTGCAGAGGAGGGAGGCAGGGGAGGATTCAGTCCCGTCACACCACACCGGCTGACAAACAGATGACTAAGAGCACGAGCAGCAGAGCCCGGACACTCACGTCGGGTTCGGCCCCTCCGAGGGGCCTGCGTTCCTGTGCAGCCGACGTGCTGGGTCCCGTTAACAGGCAGGCTCTGCTCGAGGCCGTGGCGCCTGCGGCCTCGCCATGCACTGCAGCAGCACCATGGGTGCSCCCARCCCCACATGGAGTCCATGGKGGTCRAGGCCGTGGTGCCTGTGGCCTCRCTGTGCGCCCGGCGCCACGGCAGCACCATGGGTGCCCCCAGCCCCACAKGGAGTCCATGGGGGTCGAGGCCGTGGTGCCTGCAGCCTCGCCGTGTGCCTGGCGCTGCAGCAGCACCGCGGCTGCCCCAGCCCTGCATGGAGCCCACGGGGGCTGTGCGCACTGTGCTGCCCTTCCCAGGGGAAGGGGAACCGGGCTGCCTTCCCGGAGCCTCCTGCCACGGAGCGGCCAGCAGGGGGCAACGGATCATCGGGCAGGGACAAGGCCCGGGGCAGGAGCGGCGGGAGCGGCGCCG